CTGCCAACTTGAATTTATGTTGATGGAGACTAGTTTCCAGTGGAGATCACCTGGATCAACAATTACAGCAGAATTAGCTATAAATATCTCTTCCATCGTCTAAAAACATACTGAAGTATCATCACCTTTCCTCGTCCTTTTAAGAAGTTCTCCGCCCCTTGAAACGAAGTCCATTGCAGCTAATACATTTGACTCTTTATTATTGTAATCATGTTCCTCAGCAAGAGCAATTGTTGCCCCTGCATAGCTCCTTTGCAACCTTGCCCTCAATGTGGCAGCACCCCTTAATGCTGTACAACAATGTTTCATAATAAATGAGAGGGTCAGCATTTTATTACTCCATTAGGATGAATTTCTCTGAGAGATACTCAATTACTTGAATAGACATTTTGATACCTGTAGCAGCTCCAGCAGTTAGTGTCATAATATCACCATTAGTTCTTACATTAATTGCTGAACTGACAACTGATAAGATTTGTTCATGATCAGCCCCCATATCCTCAGCAATTTCAATGCAGTGGGATGCAACTACAGCTGCTGCAGATGCAATTGCAGTGGACGCCTTTGAAGATTTCTTGTTCTTAGTCACAGAATTCTCTGGAGACGTTACTGATGAGGCTGCCAGCGCAGCCACTGCAGCAGCAACCCCTGCCACAGAAACTGCTGCGTGCAATTGGGCGTTGTGTGTTCTGAGCTCCTGTTTTTTCCTTTCCCTTTGATCCTTTATCCATCTACCCACTGTCTTTCCTCGCGTGGTGTTTCTGTGGAGCTATATTAATATGGATAATCTTAATGATATTAGAATGATACTAATTAATATGATTAGGAATATTGATTAAGCCAAATGAACAAATACCCCATTTTTGAGCAACTGCTGATTATGGATGTTATCTGGATTAAGTTCTTGATGAAGCAAGAATAGTTCCTGCAAAAGAAATTGTTTTTTCAGCAAATCACCATAGAGAAAAGGAATCCTAAAACATGGATGATGCTTATTTACAGGCTTACAGCTACAAATTAACAACCAGGTAATTTATCGCCAAAATTCAGATCGAGAGAATTGATATATACATCATCATATATTGATCCCTTGCAGTTTTATCCTATATGCAAGTTTGTAATTATCTATGCTTAGCTGATACCTATGGAATTACTCTCAGATGTTTTCAGTTCATACACTTCCTGCTCATTCTTGATTCAATATACTTTGGTTATACATATGCCGGTACACGTGCATGTCATAGGAGACACTTCTATTATCCGAATGGCAATTGAACTTTTGGAATCGTCAAGTTTGGCCATGAACTATTAAAAGTCTGATTTTGACCGCTGAACTATCTAAAGTTTATATTCCGGGCCATTCGGTCAAATTTAATAGTTACTGTGCCCCTTTCTTTTGTCTCGTAAATCATGCGAGCCCTCAGATTTGTCATGTTTAATGATTAAATGAAACGGAATGGCGTGAAATGTAAACTTTAGATAGTTCAGTAGTCAAAACCAAACTTTTAATAATTTAATGATCAAAATTCGACGATTCCCCAAGTTTGGTGCTCATCCAGATAATTTGTTCTAATTCAAATGAAGGCCTAATGAAAACAGCCAAAATTCTGCTTTGACAGCCAGAAGTCCTGGGAGGTGGATGAATATGTTTGTGTTCTTTCTTGTAAGAATAAATTTTCTTGATTCAAATAGCAATGAATTTGTCAAGCACCAACTTAGATCTAGGTATTCCCATACAACAGCGTATAATAAGCCATTGTTTTCACTGATGCATCATAAGATTTTACGAGTCTCTTGAGTTAAATAACGCGATGAAACAAGATATAACGTTGATCTGTTAGGCTTAAACGGGAAGTAGAATAGTAAGGTCAACTAGAATATGCCTAGGAATTTTTGAGTATCATTCATATAGGAAGACAATTATTAGAGGCAACCAATCACAAAAATTATAATAAATAAATAAAGATAAAATTACCTTTGTATCATCACTCCCTCTGGGAGAGACTGGGGGACTATCTGAAGTTGATAGTGGATGAGTTTGCTGTAGAATGTGGAAATTAGATAAAAGTGAATATTGAAGCACGCTTAAATACTTGTAGAAATTAACGTGTGTTGTTTGTGCTGTAAATGACTAGTGTAAGAAAAAAGGTTTGATAAAAGGCTCACTGCAGGTTCAGTTGAACTTAGAGGGCGTCCTTTTAGAGCTTGACTGTCACCTAGGAAAGACAACTGTGGCTTTTCGTCATGGTTCATTGCACCGTTAGTATGAGTGAGAGCTTTTGAGAGTTCCATGGAGGACAAACTCCAGGACCTGGCAAGGAATTCCATGGACTCAGTAGGGGTTTCAGGTGGAGGACATGTTGCTTGTAGCCAAATTGCTTCACTGTCTTCCTTGATGCCTTCAAGCTTATTGGGCATGCATTTGGAGCTGAAGGAACTCACTGAGAGAGAAACAACACATGCAAAGGAAAAGACAGTGTTTATAATTAAGGTGACATTATTGTAATTTTGTTAACTTTAAAGAATCATAAGTTGTGATCGAGCTTACTACTAAATTTGTACTCCTTGCAGCCTTGGATGGAGAGAAGCCTCTATTTATTTAGCCGCTCAGACTAGGAGGATAGCTTTGAATTGGAAGATACATTGTTATATATAGCATGGCTTATAGCAACAATTAAAGTAGCAGTATTGTCTCTTCTATACTTTAATATCATATTATATGTCAAAAAAGGTTGCACTGCAGTAATGTTATCATACACAAACTAAACAAAAACAACAGAAAGTGTGCAGAAAATCTTTGGTGATTAAATACTCAAATTTTAAAACCAACATTGGAAGTGGAAGTACATGCTCTTCATGGTCTAATTTACTGTGTGATGTGTCCCAATTAAAGTAGAGGAAACTTTGTCTCCAACTAAGCGTCAGCCTTTCTTATCTCCACTTTGTTTTCTGCTTTAAGCATAAAGAGCTAAAGATCGTTTTTCGAGCGGCGGGCTTCATAATGACCAAGGACTACTTTGACGCCATTATTACTGCCCAAAGCAAAGATGTTAGGGCCCTCCATTCCAGTATTCTCCAGACTGCAATCAACCAACAGAAAATGTCGGAATCATGTAGTGGAAACTCTTGCTGTTGTTTGATTCTCTTACGCGACCATCTGTGCATGTAACTGAGCATAATTAGCACGGCTTTCCCTGATTGGTTTGAACATTGAGATCACCCTTAATTAGTAACATGTGCAGATTGAATCTTTCCAAAATTTCTTGGAAGGCCTTGAGCAAATTTAGCCATGTAATTAATAATACTACTTTTTATTTTGTGTTTGCAACGCCGAAGAAGCCTTTGTCTGTTGACCAAAGTTGAAGCTCCAAGATTTAGAGATTGTGATTCCAATCCCCCTTCCCTCCCACCCTTCCCCTCCTAAAAATATTATGTGTTTGCAAGAACTTAGCTTGAGGAATTGAGACATTCTGAATTGTAGACGGAGTCTCATGATCGGTTATGGAGTATAATCCTACCTATAAGACCTCCTCTTCTACCATCATTGAAAAAGCTCTTTCCCAGACTGGCTCCATGGCAGACTGTTATAGGTGCATAACAATTCTAAACTCAAAACGCACGGGTGCTTGACTTGTAAATGCCATGTCCTTTTAACGATGTTATTAGCCAAAATTATGCAACCTTGGCTACTAGAATAATGGTTTTCCAGTACAAAAAGGACACAAAAATAATATTAAGATAGGGCACCTAGGCACTGGACTTATGGGGCTGTGGAGTCCATTTCGTGGCTCTAATGATCACCATTTTTCTCTCGTCCAAGCTGCAGCCATTGAAAAGGCTACCTAAGACTTAAGCAGCAGTTTTTATTTAGGTAATAAAGATGTGATTTGTGACTTCTATGCAATCCACAAATTCGGGAGTTCCTCTTTTTGTTCACTCTTCATCATTGCTTTTACGGTAATCATTCTCAAAAGATGGCAATGGAGCACTAAGCTTCCTTAGGTCCCGTATTCCATTACAGAATCTCATCATAGCTTGTCATTAACTCCCTTGTCCCTCCGTATAATCCCACATCAGATCATTCTGATTTAAGCAACTAATCTAGGTAGGGAAAAGGAAGACATAATTTACACACTAGGTGCTCCAAGGAATCATTAAGGTTTAATAAGATAATTAGGAAAGCCAAATTAAAAAGTTCAAGAATAAATGCAATCCAATCCCGTCTACATGTTATTTATTTTTTTTCACCGGCCCCATGGAGTTTGGTAGCGAAATCATTCCAACATCTCGTGTCAAAATTTTTTTAATCAAATGAACGGTATCTCTCATGCTTGTGCCTGTACTCTCTCTAACTGCTATAAGATCAAATTCCTATGATATTTTCCAGGGCAAGTTTAGATTTCCAGTATGTTGATGTAAATAAGCACATATAGGAAGTTTTACATAACATTGTAGAAAACTTCAAACATGAATTGTATTAGGAAATGAATGAGAAAACTTTTCTTGATATGGCAAAGCTCAAGGGGTGCTTGGCTTTAGGCAGGTTTTCATTGGTGTCTGCAATTGTGTTGGTTTCTGAACCTGGGTATTTTCCTTTTGGGTACTTGGCTTTAGGCAGGCGTTTAGACGTCAGACAGGGAAAACAATTAGAATGTTGCAATCAATCACCAGGCTCTCTCTGCGGACACCAACATTTAGGCTTTGGTTTTGGAGCCAATATCGGCAGCCTTTCGTATCTTATCTTAACATGAAAAAGAGATGTAAGAATTACCAGGAAAGCAAAACCTTGGGTTCACGATTGGTTGGGCGCCATGAAAATCCTTTACCTTTAATCTTGTTATCTACAATAACAAAGATAAATAATCATCAACAGGGAAAATCACTCAACAAAGAGCCACCTGTGTCTAGATAATCTTCCTCTTATGACATTTTCAGGAAAATTATGCTAGTAATTTGAAATGCTTGCAAAGCCGAAAGAATTCTTCCTTTCTGTGTGTGTGTGTGTGTGTTTTTTTTTTTTTTTTTTTTTTTGGGGTAAAGCTATATACAACTTCTCGCTCTCATAAGGACATTTCATCCAACATTCAAGGAGATGTTAGTCAGGAACAACTGCACAAAGCAGAGGAGAACCAAAAACAATAGTTAGAACATGGGCAAACTGAAGGCAGTATCAAAAACCTCCCGGGGTCAATTCTCTCATAAAGGTGAAAGTCCTTCAGTTCTTCATGATTAGAATCAAAAGGAATTCACCATTTCCGGATAAAAACCAGCAGCACTAAATACCCCCATATGAAAGAAAATCTGCCGAGGTCCTCAATGGATTCAAAACAGGTGACTCCACATACATGCAGGCAAAACAGGAAGCCTAATTCCCTCTCAAAGGACTTCAGAGATACTCCAGACTTGCTTCTCTAAACTGTAAATGGTCCACAAGCCTTAAAAACAATGATAGATTCGTCATCAGGTCCTGCCAACTAACTGGTGAAAGTACTCAACCAATAGGTGAACCTGCTTTCCTCTACTTTTCGAATACGAGTCCCCAGTTCAACACCCCAATCTATACTTTTGTGCCCATATACGAAATCAATTTAATAGCGCCACTGCTATCGCATTTAAATCCTCTTCCCTCCTTTCAACAAATTTCAGGTCATGTAAGAAACCTTAAAGAGAAAAATGTACCTAGTAACCTTTTGGGCAATAAGTTAGAATTCTTGTGCGCAAATAAGTCCGTGTCAAGTATGGAAGCAGCAGCAGCCCCAACCCCCCCCCCCTCCATTTTCTTTCCTACTGGCTTTCCTACTTTTGCGCGGAGTATCCAATTAACCTTCCATTCATTTACTGAACAGAACATAGAAAAGGACACAACCCATTCAAATTTGAGCAAAGTCATTCAGCTTCAGCTTCTATATTGACCCACAACCAGCCAAAACACCGAAAGATTCGAAAAAGAAATTTGTTTGATCCTCCAGGCTCAAGGAAATGTCATCAATCTCTTAATTGACCAAGCAGACCAGCTACTTAGAAGTCAGCTCAAGATCATCACATTATTATTCTCTGTGCAAGATGACGCCAATTCTAATCCATCCTTTCCATATGAAGCCAAGATCCCTGTTGCATACAAATACTGTCCAACAATAGTAGAGATTCTAACAGAATATTTCCATCAAATCTTGTTACATAATAACATGTCAAAAGTTTTAAAGAGTAACAGTAACATTCATCAAGTTAACTAGAAATGGTAGAAGGAAACAAAAACCCAGAAAGCCCTTTGATTGGTTATTACTGTATGCGTTATACTAAGCAAATGCAAGAATGGACATAAGTTCTCAAATAGTCGATCCTTAATTTGTCTTTGTCTTTGGGACTTAAAATCAAGAATCTCAACTAATCCTTGTTTCAAGTTTCGCAAACTTATATCATAGTCCTGAACGAGGTGCTATACGTGTAGTATATCCTTTGGACACTAGGCCTTGCATGTTCAAAGGTTATGGCTTCTTTCCAAGCAAACGTTGATTCCCAAAAATTTTGGGCAAAGGTTTGGGCCAAAATTGAGCTTGATCCGCAGAAATGAAGAAGGAATCCGAAGTGATAAATTCTCAAGCCAAATGATAGAGAAGTATCACAAAAAGGTAATTCTCATGCCTTCTTTAACCAAACAAGGACATTTAGTTCAAATTACATGATCTTCTAGCCAGATTTGCATATTCACAGTGTATGAGCCTGCACAAGTATTTACCTGTAAACACCAAGTATAAAACTTTCCATCCTTGAATGAAGTCCTTAGAAGCTATATATTCGGCATTCAGAAGCAGCAGCTTCACAGGTGTTATATTGATCACATACCAAAATCTGAAAGGTAGTGAAGTGCAAAATAAGCCATAACCAGAAAAGCACTGGCTACAAATGGCTCCATCACTGGATATTACATGGATGCAAAGTACCTCAATCCCATCTTACATGATTCAAACTCTGAAGAACTTCGGTACCTAGGTTAAAACTGATCCAGGTGAACATACAAATTTTCCCAGAGGAATGCAACTGTTTGAGATTGAAATCTAAGATATGAATCAAATAGGTATATGGTCAAACAAGTAGCTAGTGAAACAGCTGGAAAAGGAAATTACACAATATTTTTATGAGAAGAATGAAAAGATACTGTCCAAATAATCTCTGCAAAGTTTAATATGGAGCTACTTTTATCAAATTTCCATGTTGTAACACTATCAAACTCATTTGTACTTTGTAATCACCTTAAGAAATAAATTAGCAATCTTGTACAGGATTCAAGAAATGTGACTTCACAACAGGAGCAAATCATTTGGCGCCTTAAGTGCTGTCCATCAAATACCACTTCTGCAAGAGACCAATATTCGTTAATTAACCTATACTTTTTAAGTTTTCCGAAAGCATTGATACCGGTATTCATGCACACTTATTAATCAGAACCTAAATCATACCACTTTACTTGGCAGAAGAAAGGTCGCGTGATGATGGCATCCAGCTGCTTGATGGGCCAGCTTTACTATTGTGTCTATGTCCATGTTTTCCTGTTTCATTTGGCTCTCCTGGTTTTGGAATATTTCTTTTGAATGCATTAGCCAGAGAAAATGAAGATGAGGGGTGTGGTTCCTTGCTTATAGTCTGCAGTCAAAATTAATAAAATTCATTAAGAATAGTATCCAGTTGTTATAACATGCAATCTACAGTTAAATGGTATAGCTTGAAGCACCATCAATGCTAAATGCATCTGCTATAAAAATTAGGTAATTGCAGAAAAAAATTTATAAAAAACGCAAGGGGAGCAAATTTCTGGTTACTATTATAGTTATCAGTTACTCACTAGTTTCTCTGCCATAGTACTAGCACTAAGATCGCGTACAGCTCCGGAAAGAGAAGATATGTGACCATTAGGTTGTCTCAGATCACTTGTTCCTCTGTCTGCTGAAGCATATGAAGCACCATTAAAATCCTTAATCAACGTATGACCACAATAAGCATGTTAACAGATATTAAGCTTCTGCCTACAAATTATTTGATAATGCAGTTCTTATACAATCCTCAGAATCTGAATTTTTTTTAGATACATCATAAAACCATTTTCAATTATATATATTCAACCCAAGCACCAAATTCATGAGTTCACAAAAAATTTAACTCCTTGATTAAGTGTCCAGAACATGAAGTACCTTGAAGCTTATCTAAACCCACTGGCAATTCTTTAGTGCTGGTCAACCCAGAAGCTGACACCGGATGCTGAGAAGTAAAGTCAGTCAAATGAACACCACTTATTTTAAAGGGGAAGCAACCCACTCACAATGTAGAATATAAACCAAGTTTTAACTTTTAAAGTACAAGCATATAACCATGTGAAACAAGAATAGTAAGATGAATTTACATGTGGTGGATAGGAAATTGTAACAAGAAAACCCAAGTCACAGATACTAACATGTAGCTGTAGATTCGTCTTTGACCTCTGTGATTGTTGATACTTCATAATAGTCCAATCAAATACATAGTCAAATACAAAACCTGTCACATTGAGAAGGGCATCAATGACGTGAACATCAATTGCATACTACTTGACCTGGTCAATGATCACTTAGAATCAACACCCTTTCTTTCATTTCCTAACTCTTAAAAAGCAACAGCATGATACTTATCCAATTCAAGGAAGATCTAGAAGATAACAAATGCACTTGAGAAATATCAAATGGGCCACAGTGCCACACATATTTAATATGAAAGATTAAAAAGAAAACCTTAATTTGTCATGCAATTTAATATTTCATCTAGGAAAAACGCATGTTTCTTTACAACATCAAGAATACATTTTGGTGAATCTTCTTTCCACCTGAGGGGAGTACATTGCTAGAATTAAAAAATGTAGAAATTATAAGACCCTTCCACCTGCCACCCCCTACACCCTGGTACCAAAACCCCCAAAAGACATCCTTACACTTTTTCTTTCTTGTGAGTGAGAGCGTCGTTCTTCAGGAAAATGTCAAAACTGAGTTAAGGGACCTACACATTTATCCCTGCTTTAAATACCATGGTGACCAAGAAAGAAAATCAGAGCCACCTTTTGCTTGCTAGGACAAGCAAAAGCTTTCCTTTTTCCCCTCTACAAGTCATAATATAAGCAGAGTCACATTCAATGGCTCTATGTCATTCAAGTACAGGCTCTAAATTGACAAACTATAACAGCTGCATTGACATAATACTAACATTTTAAATAAATGGAAAATCTTTACTTGCTGCTGCTACTTTGCATGCCAAGACTCATAAAACTCTATTTTCAGGAGAATATAGGATAACATGAGAAGTATAAACAATCCATCCCAACATTGGGGTAACAAATATGGTAAACTGGATAGTCAATGGTAAAGAAATTCAAGTTGTGCACCTTCACGAGTAAATAAATCTCGGAATATACGCTTCAAGAATCCATAATCAGGCCGTTGATCAAAGGTTAATGAGTGGCAGTAATGGAGATAAGATGCAAACTCCACAGGATAAGACTTGCATAAAACCTTTTGACAAGAAATTCCCCAATCATTAGTGCACCAACAAACATGAAGACTGTTCATAATTCAGGAAACTAATTTTATGATTTAAAAACTAAATCAGCATCCATTTATTACTGCCATTCACCTCTATAGCTAGCACACGTGAAATAATTTTTTCACCAATAAGATTACTGCATATGTGACATTGTAACCAAACAATATAAAGGGAAGAACAAAGAACAAGCCTCCAAGATTGCATGGTCTCAGAACGGTAAATTAGTCAAATTTACCCCAAAAATCTAAGGCTGTTTCAACATATAAAATTTATGCTGTTCCTGGTTGCCATTAAAAAGCCTTACTGTTACCCCAACACTCAACACTCGAGAAAATTATATATTCCAGGATAATGTATTCCAGAATTACTCCTCATCAACCAAATGTATTTTCTTAAGGAAACATTTATAGAAACAAAACAAAATTAAATCATCATGAAAAATACCTCAACAGGTGTTGACACCTTTTTGTCACATATTTTATCATACTTTTGCTTCTTTGTAGCAGCTTTTAGACCCTGCCATGGAAGGCTACATGAAAAAACGAGTACATTAGTCCAACCTGATGCAAGAAAGAAAATATTACAGGTAAGAAGTCATGAGCAAATTCTTGTACACAGAGAAAATAACCTTGAAGAGAAATACACATACCTTCCTCTCAAGAAGTACAAAAGAACATAACCAAGAGCCTCTAAATCATCCCGTCGACTTTGTTCTATAGAAAAGAACCAATTACATAATAAAGGTTAATGCTCAACATCAGATGTGCAATAAAATATCAACACTTACCAATGCCCAAATGAGTATTACAGCTTGCATATCGAGCAGTTCCAGTCAAATTTTTCTTTTCCCTGTCTCGATCAAAAAATTTATAAATTAAACTTCACAATATACATATCTCAAAAGGAATGAAACTAATTCAACCCAATACTGCCGACAGCTGGAGAATATGCCCAGAACAACAATTTTTCTCAAGGTTTCATAACTACTAAACCATATGTGGTCCTTTCCAATGAATAACCAAAATCAAGAGTGTGAGCTGAAGCCTGTTTGTTCAAGTATAAACCGCAAATTCAAATGCTGAAGCAAATTTTGTGACCAATTCTCCACCCTAATTGGGGCATATCACATCCTGAAAGCTGTGGAAGAGAATGTTGGACACTAAGTTGATGTCTATTAACAAACTGAAAATTTTACCAGAACATGTTCTGTGCTCCATTAGTTTGATTAATTTTAATTTTTGACAAACAAGAAGTTCCTTCCAGGAGTTTAACACATGAATCAGAAATACAGATATGTATAATGACTGATCAAAATTATCAACAATAGCATAAGGATCCTGAAGAAGGAAAAAAAATTGCTATTCTCACTATATCAAAGGTAAGTGTTTGGGCCAGGCCAGAAGTTGATTCTGACATACCTGTAAGGGATGTGGCGGTTTGTGGTCGGATCGCGGTATCTTTTGGCAAGTCCAAAGTCAATAATATACACCTAATAACACAATGAATTAGTACCAAAAAAAATAAAAGGGAAACTCAGTCATCTGAATGACAACAAAACATGCATGTAAAGTGATAATAAGATACAAAATAATGATCAGTACCTGATTTGCTTTTCTTCCAAGACCCATTAGGAAGTTATCTGGTTTGACATCTCTATGTAGAAACCCTTTGGAATGCACATATTCTATTCTCGTAATCTGCAGTTCATTAACAACAAATGTGACAATTTTTCAAAATCTTGACTCTAAATCAAATTTCTATATCAGCACAAACAACCAATATCTGAAAAAATGATCACATTCCAGAATGTAAAACAGAAATAAAATGTTGTCACGAGCACATCCTAAAAAAAAACACAAGAACAATAAAAGTCTGGTTACCATCTGGTCAGCCAACATGAGAACTGTTTTTAGAGAAAACTTTGTTCCACAGTAAACGAAAAGATCTTCAAGGCTAGGACCAAGAAGGTCAAGGACAAGGACATTGTCATCTCCATCTGCCCCATGCCATTTAATATTAGCAATGCCACCTGAAATCACCATATCAGATAACAATCAACAATCAACATCGAAAATTAAACTAAACAAGTAGTCCACAACAACATACTTAGCAAGAGAAGGCATAGAAAACCATGGCATACTTACTTCCGCCCTGCAGAATATTATACAACTTCGCCTCATACATTAATTGTGGATGTTTTGTCTGCTTACTTTCCTATAATGCAGAAAACAAATCAAAAATTTTCTAAAAGACTCCAACTTTTTGCATTTTGGCTACCTCATAGATCCGACAATGAGCAATCAGTTTGGAACAAAAAATTCCGTCTTTAAGCCTTTTTAGAGGTTCAGGGAACATAAGTAGACAAATTCCAAACCAGCTTTACTGTATGCAAACTAACCACGACAGGTACGAGCTTATCAAAATTTCAAATCAATCATGCAAAAACTAACATCTCCAGTACAAATTTCAACACCACCCAAGTCAAAATTTATCCAATTTTGATGAAGTTACTTGAGAATAACATGTCCAGCTTTATTAAGATTATAACCACCACCATGCTAGAATCTATAGGACAAGGCATATCCATTATTTCAAGTACAAAGCCAATCACAAAGTTAAACATAGTCAAAATTCGCTACAATTACAATAACTAGCATCTCCAGCTGAATTTCACAATCAAGTCAAAAATTACTGAACTTGGTTAGAGTTACAGAAAATAAACATCTCCAGCTCAAGTTCACAATTATTATTATTATTGAACTTAAAATTGATCGAAATTCGATGTAATCTACATTAAACTAACATCTCCACTCAATTTTAAAATAACAAACACCTAACGTTGATAGGTTCCTGGAAATTCAACAGAGTTAAACAAGAGTAACATCTTCAGCTAAATTTTGCCATTCCGATCATAACAAAAGCATGTACCTAAGCTTGTGAATAACAACATCAATAAAATAAGCTAGAAAAAATTGACCAAAAACAAAACTTGGAAAATGAGAAATTCATAGGCAAAAGAGACTTACGATTTTAATCGCAACAATTTCACCCGTGTCGATATGAGTAGCTGAATTCAATCAGAAAATGAAAACAATAGAGGATCAAAAATGAAATCTTTCAAAACTTTCAACATAAAAATAAACAGTAGAAATTGAAACAATTACTAATACTACTGCTTAAAATTGGAAAGAAAGCAAGAGACCGAGATATATTACTCCGAACGAACCGCCACCGATCTTGCGCCCAAGCTTATATTTCTCTCCAATTATTCTCTCCATATATTTATGTATGTTTCTGATTAGTTGAGAAAAAAAAAATCAGGAATCAATTTTTTTTTTAGGTAAAAAATCAGGAATCAATTTGGAGTTTATTCAATTGATTATAGAACCTAGGATTGAGAATTTTCCTTTCCCCTTATTTGCCTTTGTGTATTTATTCAGAAAATAAACAGAAATTCTCAGTATCAAGATTTAGAGCTAATTAAGGGAGATTAAGATTATATGGAGGAGGAGGACAGGAGGATTAGAGAATATTCAAGGAAGTTAGACTTTTTGTCTTTGACTTTGACTTTGACTCGTCTCCTCATCGGTTTTTACTGATTTTATTTTTTCTTTTCTTTGGGGTTAATTTGATTTTTGACTCTTCTCCTTGGGTTACTCTTTATTAGCTTTTAACTTGTTGTGAATTCGTAGGTAAGCACGTGTAATTCAATTCGACAAATAGGCTTTTATTTGATTCAATAGATAGGATTTACCGTTTTATAAAAGTTCTTGAAATTAGGAATGTGAAATAGTTGATTTATGATATTAAAATTTGAAATAGTAATTTCAATTCAAGAAAGGATCAAACAAAATTTGTACTAACTCATTTGCATTAATGGTAGATCATATAACCTCAAATTTAACAATTGTAAGTATTTTTGAGAGATGTCTTTATTTCTTTTAGTATACAAAATTCAATCGAAAATTAAACAGTTCCTTTTTTGCCTCCCAACTTGAGCAATTACGACTATAGTTGGAAGGGTAAATGAATTGATAAGTAACTTCAGATGGAACAGAGATGTTGTGAATAGAATATTTATAACCAACAAATGAGCTAATTCATGGGAGGACCAAAGCTGGAGAACCCTGGTGCAAGCAAGTACCGTGGAGATAAAGTGGAAACACTTGAGCATATTTTATTCTTCTGTCCAGAGGCTGAACAAGTATGGCAAGTAGACCCTTTTCAATGGGACGGATTACTGGAGAGAAGATGGAATTTCTGGGACTGGTGGGAAGGATTAATTGAGGCATTGAGAAGAGAAAATGGGAGAGACCACATCAACCTAACTGTTAATATACTATGGAACGACTGGAAGGAGAGGGATGGGTTCCAGTTTGAATCAAGAGGAAAGAAGGAACTTGAAGTGGTGCAAAAAGCCTGGCAAGAATGGGAGGAATATGATAGATGTTGCAGGGACCAGGAACCTCACAGGTCAGAGAATGAAAACGGTCTTAAGGGGCACAGAGAAGAAAGAAGGATTTTTTTTTTTTTATTGAAACGATAACTGTTGTATAACCTATTTTATCCTACATTAGAGGGGGGGAGGGAGCCTAAAGAGGTTTGTATTGGGGACTAGCAGGTACACAAACTTTACTAAACCAAAGGGGTGCTCCAACACCACCTTTAGATTTTTTTGACTACAGGTGAGATTAGAACCATCACCAATTTCCTCTAGAGGAAGTGACCACCACATGAATTATGGGATAAAAGGTCAAGAATTCAAATCTTACTTTCCATCAATTTGTCATTATATGTAACTTCTTCTAAATTCACATGGGTGCGTAGTGCACCCATCTGATCCAATAATGATTCAGTTCACGCCGATTCTCTCGATCCAATTAGGCCACCCCTCTAAACTAGGCTCGAGTAGAAATGAGAGTAAGAGTTGGTTAAGTTAAACGAAATATACCGTTACGGGAAAAAAAAGTTGGGGTGGGAATCACAGCAATAGACCTGTGAAGCAAGTTAAGAATAGGAGTGGTAATTTCCGACACGACCTGAAAATACGATACGAACCTAACACGAAATTAATAGGTTTAGGTTGAGGTTTCGGGGGTTCGGATCAGAATCGGGTCGAACCCGATAAACCCGAAAAGAAAACAGGTTGAATTCGGGTCAACACGTTGGTGACCCGATATGACCCATTTACAAATTAAAAATAATTTAATAAACATAAAATTATTTTATCTAACTAAGCTAAATTATTCTTTTTTTTTCAAAGGCATTAATTACTTAATCCTAAATGAATTTATTTAACTTGTGTGAAGTTGAAATTATTATATTTGGATAAATAATATATTATATTATTTTTTACTTTTATACAATTTTAATTTATTTTATATTTGGTTTGGGATAAAACACTCTTACGGTGTTTAATTTATTTTAAATTTGGTTTGGAATTATTTATTTAAATTTCTATTACTTAATTATGTAATTAGTTTTGTGAGAAATTGATTTTATTACAAATTACAGTAGTAAATTAATAAATTAAAATTAAATTTCAGGTCGACCCGTCAACCCGCCAACCCAAAATTTTCGGGTTCGTGTTAGGTATCCTGACCCGTTCCGGGTTGACGGGTCATGTTCGGGTCAGCGAATTTTCTGTTATGCCCGAGTCTCATCTCAACTCGACCCGCCAACTCGAATTCGACCCAATTATCACCCCTAGTTGGACGCGGGGCTGGAGCGGTTATCAGAACAACCGCTCCGGAAGGTGTAACACCATTTGTACATTGTGTAACATCATCTGTATAAGGTGTAACAATTGAACAACAGCGAGTAAAATAAAATAACATTTTTGTGGGTTTCACACGACGTGAAAATCGAGTTACAAGACGTGATCTAAGCCGCACAAATTTTTGAGACTTCATCCAGACTGTGAACTGCCACAACTGTCCAGGATCTGACAACCGTCCGGGCCCCTCGTCCCCCTAGTTGAGGGTCATGGCCCATGGGCTGTCAGATCAATTTCCACATGGAGGGACTACAGGAATGGAGGAAGCTGAAGCTGTCACATTGGCTATCGCGACGGCACTAGAACAAGGGTGGCAGAAAGTCAGTATAGGAGTAACAATCAAAGAGCTCAGTAGAAAAGTACAGAGCAAAGACCAAAATGATGCATTGTTAGCAACGCTCATTGGGGGCATCATACAATTGAAAGACATGTTTTCAGTCGTGTCGGATATATTATAGCCCAAAAGAGGACAATAGAGTAGCCCAAAATATAGCCAATTTTGCGGTCAGCTTAATAAATGATGTAGAGTGGAAGCACAGCTTCCCGCTGTGGATTTCACAGTGAAATAGTTATGCTCTTTAGTTTATCTGTGATGGACTTTAGTCCAGATGTAAACGGTTACACTTTCAGTGGTAATAGAAATGAAATTTTGCCGTTTAAAAAAAAAAAGACTATAGTTGGAAGGCCCGAGCTTTACGACTATAGTTGCAAGGCCCGAGCTTTACTACTTCAATTGCCTTTGACAAAGATCGGCTAGTTGGTTAACCGGAAAAAAAGAATAAAAAATGGAAGAACAAAATTTTGTTTTCTTTTTTAAATCAAATCAGGCAAATTTTGAATATCATATTTGTGGGTCCTTATCGTTACAAATTAATTTTATACATACCTATTAGATATAAACTATCAAGTTTAGGTGTTAGTTTATGTAGTGTCAACGTAACATTATATATCTTCATTATTAGAAGGACAACAGTAAAAGATAGTACTAAAAACACATAAATAAAATAAGAAAAAATCTTATATATACTGATAATAAATATACTTTCGTAGTTGGATGCTCAATGTATATAGAATTTGGATTTCAAATTCAAATTTCAATTATGTATCATGCATTCAATGATGAAAGTATACACGTTATTAATGTATAGAAAATTAATCCATGAAATGAAGATAAGAGTTTGAATTTTGGAGAAATAAAAAGCTATAATGGGGTGACAGGAGGAGTGATTCTATGGAGAATAAAAGAGAATAGATAGATAGAAGTTATGTTTTTAAATTCGAATCGAATCAGTCGGTTCGATCGATCGAATCAAAAATCAATTAAGTGTTCGGTTCGAATTATATTAAAGACTCGGTTGATAAAAACTTGACCGGGTTTGACCAGAAGAACCAGTAAAAACGGAGCTCCACGGCCTAGCCTTGCTTAGCTACTTTCAATGAGCTTTCTGAACGGAAATTTTTGACTGAGGACCACGACTCTCTCTTTCTCTCTCTTCGAATGCTCTGAGATTCTGATTTGACAGAGAGGATCCCAACCAGTTTTATCAATTATGTTTTGACATGGTATCAAAGCATTTTCAAATTTTGATTCCTAGGTTATTAAAAATTATTAATATACCTCAAATATTTTATATTTTATAAATATTTGTCTTAAAATTTGGCATTATTTTTCAATCAAACCCATAATTTTAATTCTAAACTTGTTAATGTTCATTGAATAATATAAATTGCTATTTGATCGTTTTAATTTCTTTGTATTTTCTTGTTAAATACATTTGAAACATCAAATATATATGGATATACATTTATTAATATTAACATGCTCTTAGATATTTTGCATATATTTGAAACATCAAATATATATGGATATACCTTTATTAATATTAACATGCTCTTAGATATTTTGCATATAATATTTTATTTTTAAATAATTTTTATTTATAACATCATTCGATTTAACCCTCGATCGAATCCATTAATTTTTGACCTCTGAATTTGATCGAGTCTTTGATCGAGTCTGTACCTGGGCGCGAGTTTGAAAACATAGGATAGAAGTACTCTGCTCTGCCTGCACGTGGAAATGCAAAGGGGTAGTCTGTTCTGGGAAAAAGTTCTCGGAGGATGTGGAAAGCATAAAAGTGAAATAAATGAGAAACTTTTCTGATAAAGTAAAGGGTTACAATTTTTTTTTTTTTTTTTTTGTTTTGTTATTTCCCCCCTTTGGGACTTTTCTATTTTAAAGTAGAAGGTGACCTAACTAAGAGTGAGCGGCAAAGAACTTCAACGGGAATCAAGAAAAAATTGCGGTGAGCGTGGATCGAACACGCGACCTTCAGATCTTCAGTCTGACGCTCTCCCAACTGAGCTATCCCCGCTTCATGTGACTGTTCCAAGATTATTACCTCATAAATTCTTAAATAAGTTTTTATTGACTGAACAAGTCTTCATTTTGATATGTCTGTTGGTGAAACCTTAACCATGTGATTACTAAAATTCCGTCCTGTAGAAAATCCTACTAATGGCTTACAGGATAAGGTAACATAAAACAGTTCCGCAATAAGAAAGAGAATGATGACAAGTTTTTGGAACCAAAAGGATATTTCTTCTACTCTTTCACTCTTGACAACCAAATGGTTTTCTTCGTGTGTGAGTACAGAAATACACACAAGATATAACTTTTGGTCAT